AGACATGCAGTATGTTGATGCTTGGATCAATAATAACTTGACACTGTTATTAACTGGATAATGTTCAATCTGTATAATGAATGCTAACAACTGAATTAAGCATACTGAAAAAGGAGATTATATTGAAAAATAAATATTTGCAGTGTTAAAACTGGCATTAATCTACAGACTTATTGAAGCACTTATATTTAAGAGGATGCTGAAATGTTCTTGGCCCAACCATGAAGCCACTATCAAAACAATTCTGATGTTTGGCTATTTTGTCAGATTTTAGGAAGTAGGCTAGGCCAAAGATTTCCCAGCACTCCTTCATAGAGAGAAAGAGTAAGAAAAATAATTATTTCTATTGAAATGACATGACTAAAAATATATATTATCTACATAAATATATACAGGGTGTGATTGATAAATTGTTGACATTTTATATTTTTAATTTCATGCATGCGCATTGTTTTTGATTTTGTTGACTACACAGTATAGTAGGGTCAGTTGGTCACCATCTGTAAGAAAAAGAGAACCATGATGCAATTATTCACTCTGCCAGAAATTTGGAAACAGTATACTGTGTGAAGGTGTTTGGAGTGATCACTAGTGATGGCGACATTATACCTCCATTCATCTTCCCACAGGGCCTCACTCAACATGGAGGCCTACATCAAGTGCCTTCAGGAGGTAGTGCTACTCTGGGTCAAGAGGGTGTCTGCTGGAAGACCCTATGTGTGACAACAGGACTCTGCATCATGCCACACAAACAGGAGAACCCAGTCATTGATGTCAGACGATTTCTGTAACTACTCACACCTTACATATGGCCACCTAAATCCCCAAACTGCAACCTCCTTGATTATTATGTGTGGGGTGCAGTTGAGCAAGAGACCAACAAAACTCTTTGTAATACCAAAGATGAACTGAAGGCATGGATTGTGGCAGCATTTACCAACTTAAACAAGGAGACAATCCAGAAGAGCCGTCTGAAGGCCGTGGTTGAAGCCAAGGGCAATTTTATTGAATAAATTTACTCATTAGTATTTCAAGATATTTTTGCGTATTTTTGGTCAATATATCTGTTAAAATGAGATGTCTGCATTATTTTTATTTTTGAATTAATTTAGACGAAATTTATCCATCACACACTATTATATATATATATATATATATATATATATATATATATATATATATATATATATATATTTCAGAATTATTATTGTTATGGATATTTTGGGTTCTGATCATATCCATAATAGTTTTGGATGTTGCAATTATTTTGATATTAAGATTAGATAAATTATGGGGGTAGTAGAATTAGTATGTAGTATTATATACCTGTTTTTTTTTGTCATTGTTATTATTGTTAACAATGTCATTAAATTTTTTGCAGTTGTATGATTTTATGCCTTTCTCTTAAGATTGTGGATGAAATAACAAGAATATTGAAAGTGTTTTCTATGTATATTTCTTCTTCAAGTAAGGATTGGGGGACTGCATATTCTTAGTACTCTTAAATAAAATCCTATAATTATTCCAGATTTTATCCACCTATAGTGGTAGGAATAAAAATTGATAAAGTAATTCTTGTTGGTGAATTTTCTGTAAACCTCTAACTGAAGTTTGTTATTGGTTCTATGTAGCATGATATCTATGAAGGGTAAAGTGTTGTTAGATTCAAAGATAAAATCTATGGTGGGTACACCCATTTTCATACCCACAAACATTTACACACTCCTACACATATATATCAGTTGCCTCTGGAGGGTGCTTATTTTTCTTTAACAAGATTTCTCAAATATTCAGGCTAGTAGACAAAAATAAATAAATATACTGTTTAATAAAAAACTTAGCATCTACTCAGATATGCTTATCCACTAAAAATAATGTCTGAAGTCATAAAATCTGTCAGATTAATAAATAAAAAATCCATTACTTCTTTAGAAATTGCTTCATTTACATTTGGATATGAAACTGAGCAGATACGAAACTTCAAGAATCTGGGAATGATTTGCACTTATAAGCCACTATTCGGCTTTACTTGATCTGCAACACCCTTTGGGATAAATTTGGTCAAAATCAAGTAAGATCTACAAATACATATATTTATACCTGTAATCATGCATGCAAATATATATACTAACAGAGATAATACAATGCTAAAATTTAAAGTAAGCTAAAACATTTTCCACAAATAATATTTATAAAGGTATGCTGAAAGGTTCATGGTCAGAATTTTTTACATATTGATCAGATTTTGAAAAGAAGGTCAGGTAGAGATATTTTTCAGCACCCTCTCCTTCATACGTAACCAAGTAAATGCAGAAGTGTTAAGCAGAGAAGTAGGACAATGCAAATTCCTAAAAATTTTTTCTTGACTTATGAAAGTATATGAAAGTTTACATACTATTATCAATTTTTTGAGCAGTATTTTTTTTGCTTTTGTCTGAATTTAGAGATAATGAATTATCATTATCATAGACTGATATACTTGGACAAGTATCTTCATCGTTATAGTTACAACATCTTTGTTACTGTACTTTCAGGCCAACTTCAGGTGTCTGTCATAGTTGAAATGCTGTAATCTGGGAAAGATAATGAAATCAGGTATGGCTGAGCATGTGTGTGTGTGTGTGTGTGTGTACTTGGGGAGGGGATCATAAAACCATGTGGAATGAAGTCAAAATATTATAAAAAATACAACATGAAGGATAATGTGATTGAAAGAATCTGCACACATACAAGACTTCTGATAACCTCCTTGGTTGGCCTAGAATTGAACAGCATCTGAAAGACTTTAATTAAGAATATTAAATCTAAAATTAAAAAGTTCTAAAACCTAATTACACTATATATAGTGTAAAATTCATATATTCTGATCCAGTTGAATAGGTAGACAAGTAACATTAGGTATAAGGCTCCAAGTTTTCATAATAAAACTGTCTTACTTGGCCTTGTGGAAAAGACTGAATAAAGTTTTTGATTTAAAATTTCCTGTAATGTTAGCAACTATGACAGGGATTACTACAGTTGGTGGGCCTCTGTGGCTTAATTGGTAAAGCAGCTGACACTTTAAGACAGGCTTCATGAAGAAATGCGAGACATTGTTATTTTTATCTGTAATTTAACATCATAGATGTTCTGTGTGTCGCAATAAAAAGCAGCTAAAATTAAAATGAATGAAATACTGTATGAAGAGTTGATAATAATAGACAATGCTTTATCTAAGAAATTAAAAAAAATAATATTGCTACTAGGGTATTAAAAAGAAAAACCCAAAAAACTGTGTTCTGTTGACTGCAGACATATACCATTGAATTCACCAATACTGATTTTGGAAAGTGGGTAAAGTTGAGAACTTCAGCACCACATCCATACATCCAAAAAATGAAATATCAACTTTATCAGAATTTCAAGCATATGATAAATAAATGAAAACAAAAATATATTTGTTATTTCGTTTTCCAAAGAATTTTTGCTTATTATTCTAAGTAAATTGCATGCAAAACTCTTGCAAAATGATGTATAATTCAAGAATCTTTCAAGGAAATTTGAATACATTGCAAAAAATTACAAAACAAACATAAAACAAGAAAATGAAGAGACACATTTTATTTTATTTTTTTAATTATTTCACCCCAAGCAAGGCAATAAAATCATTAATATGCAAGGGGGTTTCTGAGTGAAGAAAACATTATTAAGGAAAGAGAACAATAAAAGAACAGGTATTAAGAAGAGTGACAGAACTAATTTCAACTTGATTTAAAATCAAAGTTATCAATTTCTGTGAATTCCTAAACAAAATGCTTGGTGTTAATTTTTTGATTTAGCATTAAAAATCCTTAGTAGATAAGATAATTTAGATTTCATCTTTTCTGCAACTTTCATTTTTTTTCATTGCAAATGAATAAAGTAGTACTTTTTTTATTTACTTTTATTTATTTAAATCTGATCCAACAAAAATGCAATGTTCTTTGTAGCAAGAACAGTAGATTGCTTAGATTAAATTTTAATTTCATTTGAAAACTTCACAGGCTTATTGAAATTTAAGTATATGTACTGAGGATTTCACAGATTTCACATTTCTAAATAAAGAACACTATTACAAATTACAATGTAAAAAAAATTAAACAGTTTCAAAACAAGATATGAAGGTTTGTACTATGCTGCACAATATCATTTTATTCTAATAAATATTTTTGATTGAGTGATTTAATTTTTTGAAGTGATTGGCATTTTTCCAACTTGAAATTAGTTCTGCACCCCCATTAAAAAGAGAAAGGATAACAATTGACATTGCATCTAAATACTAGAAGATCAAAGTTGATTGGAAAGAAAGAAGCTGGGAGAGAGCTCCACAAGTGAGAAGTATGAAATAAGAAACTGTTAGCATAGAACTTACAGTTACATCTAATAATTTCAACTGTAAAATGAGGAGTCCTTGCTTCCAATCTAATACTGCACTTAAATTCATAAAGTCTACATGCCAAAAAGGAAGCTCGTTAGAACAATTACCATGAAAATATTTATAGAAAAGGCACAGAAAAGCTGTATTATGGCAGTGGAAAAGTAATTGAAGCAAAGATGGCAGGTCAGGAACAATAATATTGCAGATTCCTCTTTGTATTTTATCAAGAATCTATAAATACTAACAGACCTACTGATGAAGTCTATTAAAAAAATTGCTTCTGAGACCTACTAATTAAGCAGTCTAAAAATATTTATTTAAAAAATTATGGTGGCAAATTCAAATAAATTTTAAAATAAAAAAATGTTCTCTGAATTTGCCACCTTTTGAATTTAAAAACCAACGTGTACATAATGAACATGAATTTCATTCAAAAATTGAGTTTTTTCTACTGAAAATCTTGATATAAACAGCCTACGACTAACCAATGATTAAACCAAATTAATGATGAACATGTTTGTTTGAAGATAAATTAAAGTGTAAGTTTTCAACCACTTTAATCCTCTGATCTATCAGCAGAAAGAAATCAGTAAATAAAACTTACCGATAATATCGGCTAATAAAGACATCATCTGTGTATCCCATGCCACCCCAAAACTGTAAGCAAGAGTCAGACACAATACGTGAGAGTCGGCCAGCCTTCAGTTTACACATGGAGGCATATTTGGTGACATCATTACCTTGAAGGTAGAGGCCTGTAAAATAAACAGGAAATGAAATGCATGCAAAAAAGAAAAGGTCTTTCAAATTTTGAAAAAAAAAAAAAAAAAATTTTCACTAACATTTGCTTCCCTATAGGAATACTTACAGAAAATAGTAATAACCATAATGTAATTAGTTTTATAATTATTTAAGTATCCATAATTAATGATTCATTAAAATGTTTTAAATGTCATGTATCAGTTAACAGTAAAAGAAGAAATCCTTCAAAAATAATAATAAAAAAATATACATATTCATACGCAAATAACTAATCATGTTATTCTTAAATTTAATTTTAGTAAAAGATTTTAAAATATGTTTATTGCTAAGAAATATATTACTGTTAATGCTTCCATTAAGTAAATGAATTTGTTAAAGTGTTTTGAAAGATTTAATTTTCTCTGCATAAATTAAGAATAAAGGTTGAATCAAAAGTTGATTCAATAAAAGCCAAGAAAATTTTTTTTATATTTCTAAGGCAAATCTAACCAAGATACTACTTCATAGACCTATCTAAACAAATATCTACAAAATGTTAAGAAAACTGTGTGTGTGTATGTAATGTTAAAAATATAGTTATAAGGTATACTATATTTACAGGTAAAAAGTACTCAATATCAAGTACGAGTGTATGTAAATATAAAAGTGGACATCAACGTCAACAACGAGCGGGGGCAGTCTGTTTCATGCCTGAATGCAATCTTCAGGCTGAGTGAGAGAAAGAAAGAGCTCATGATTGGGCTGTGTTAGCCACTTAATTACATTTACATAAGTAGTAAAAATATATTACATTTTCAGATTATAAACACAGTTGAAATGAAAAGAGAGTAGGCTAGCCGCTAACAGGAAATTAACTTTTCCGAAGGAAGCCTGATCTTTATTCTTTGCTATGCATCACTAAAACAATTGACGTTTAACAAAATAATTTGTTACAGATTAAGTCAAATTTTGAACGTTTATTAATATAATTTATTATCATAAAAATAATTTGCGAACTGCAAAAGAGTATTTATGCAAAGATTCAAACTTACGAATAAATCATTAATTTAAAAATAGAACTGACTTTTCAAGGGAGGTAACTTAAAATATTTTTAGTACGAGTTGTCTTTTAAGGGGCATAACTCAAGGCTGCATATTTTGCAATTGTCAACTATACAATGCTTTAAAATATTTTATATAAATGTTTTCTAATTCATAGTAAAAAAGTTTGATAGAACATAATTCATCTTAATTTGTATTCTTCCAGAACAAACTTGCTTTAATTTAATTATTATATATAATGTAAAGCATTTCGTTCAAAACCAAGAAGAGTTGATTAAAAATATAACCATTTTTCAATGTTTGTTACATTCAATAATACATGAATAAAAATGGTTACTGTTTAAATATACATTGTTCAGCACACATACACACACACACACACACACACACACACAGTATTCCTTGCTTTCAAGATGCATACCTAATTTATTCCGGTAAATATTGAAGCATTTTCTTTATAATAAAGTACAAATCTAGAAATAATATTTAACTACAATGACAGTAGATAATTATTCCCACTTTATTATGCCCATGTGAATAAACTTCCTTTGACTCAAGTTACTTTACAGATATTTGAAACTCTGAAGAAAGACAATGCTAATTCTGTGACTCAGGTTACTGACCCAACCAGTTCTTTTAGTGCTGAAACTAATGCCTCTAAATATGTCAAATACTACACTAACACAGAATGGATGCTCTGTTGTACTATTTTACCACACTTTCCTGTAGTGAACAAATATTTGTTAAGAGAAAAAGACACTTCTATCATAGTCAAGGCTTTACAAAAGTGGCAACATTATGTCACTGGATGACACTTTCAGATCATTACATACCAGCATAGTGCAGCCTTCATGTTTAATGAGATTACCTGTTTTTATGCCATGATTATGATATCATGTTCTGACTTGACAAGCACATGCTACTCCAGTTGCAGTAACAAGAGACTGAAAGTTCTACATAATAATCTTTGTCACCCAGGATGTCTTGCATACAATTCATTTTATATGTTGCAGTAATCATCTCTTCTCAATGGAAGATGTTAATGACATCCTCATGTTTCAGTTGTTCAGAAATAAGACAGAGATAAGACCTCAAGCCTAGCCCAGGAAAGTTTGTCAAATCTACACAGCTCTTTGAAAGACTCAACTTTGATTTAAAAAGACCTTTACTATCCAAGTCTCAGTATAAATATATTCTAACTATAATTGACAATTTCTCTAGATTCCTTTTTGCCTTCGCATGTCTTGATCTTTCTACTTGCAGACAAAACTTGCCATAAAATGTTTAACTTGATTTTGTTTTGAATGTCAGCTTATTTACTCAGACAGAGATACTCCTTTCATGTTTGAAGAATTGACAGATATCTTGTTAAAAAAAAATAGCAACTCCTTATAATCCATAAGGAAATTGGCAAGTAAAACAATATAATGGCATAATTTTAGCAGTAAAACTCGATATTTCCCAGCGGGATGAAATGCTAACTAAAGCTCTTCATTTGATACAGTCTTTGCTGTGCACCAGTGCCAATTGTACTTCACACAAACACTTCCTAAATATGCATTGATTAACTCCAGTTCAGTCACTATCTTCTTGGATTGTATCCAAGGGAGCAACATATATTGTCAAACAACATACTAAGTACTACCCTTTTGACCAATCAGGAAGTTCCCTGTGGGAAGAACAGTGTTTCATTCAGGCATCCTGCATCTAATCCATTGATAGAAACCTTTGTAGAAATACCCTTCTCAGAGATCTTTGAATAACGATTAAATGGAAGAGGTAAGTTCCAATATTTCTGAAATGATGCATTGCACAATCCTGGGTTCTACTATCAAAGATAAAGATTCAGAGCCTTTTGTTGCTTCAAGCTTCAACTGAGACTACTGGAAAATTTTTGCAAAATAACTTAAGGATTAGATGTCCACCCACTTATCTTCAAGATTACATTACCTGATTGCTGATGGATGGGTGAATGTAATAAAATTACATTACTAAGTAGAAGACACCACCTCACCTATTTCTGTATGAACTGTTCTGTATTTATTTAGAAAGATATTAATTCCATGTTTTTACATTTTGTATTGGCCCAGCAAGTATAACCTAGTATAATAAAGTTTAGACCAAATTAAGATTTGACTTCCTTATCTCAAAGATGTCTTTTAGATAGAGAGATTTTACAAGTGTACTAGTAAACATATATGTTTATGGGAGCACCACCAAAAATCTAGATGACCAGAACCTAGCAATTGATCTCTCTTCTTGTTCAATGGAGGAGGTATTGGTTTGAAACATTCAATCCCATGCTAGAAACATTTCATCATCACAGAGCAGATTTTCTCTAGTCATAGTGAATGGTTGTACTCTAAATGAGGCTTCTTGCCTAGAACATCTATTGGGAGTTACACTTACATGAGACCTCAAGTGGAACTCTTATATACAAGTCATTGCTAAAGACACTGGAAAAATGGTTGGTTCCTTGTACAACTCCAGAAATTACTTGACTCCTCCTACCATGCTCATTTACAATAGTCATATCAAACCAAAAGTGGAGTTTTGCTGGCTGGAGCCGCCCAATACTGACTTCCCAGCCTCAACAGTTAAAAAGCATTTGTGTAGCCTTGTGGTTGATGAATTGTTGTCCACTATAGAATACCTTTCCGACAGATGAAATGTTGCTAACTACTCTATTACTATTTTCATGTCAGATATCCAGGTGAATTATAATCATTAGTTCCACCTGTCCAGATCTTGATGACTAGGACCCACCAGGCCACAACTCAACTTCATTCCCTTCCATTGGTGAGGAGCAAGTTCCACTCACATTGCTTCTTCCCCTAGAACTATTGCATTATGGAAGGGGATTCCCAAGATGATGCTCCTTCAATCATTAACTTCTTCATGTTTGGTGCCAACTGTTATCTATCCTACATATCCTCATAATATGAAACCTCTTGCTCTCTCTCTGTACACCTTTACAGCAATATCAGTTAATAACCCTCTACCTTGAGTGGATCTTGGGCCTTGTATTGGGTGAACAATAGTAAAAAAGAAAAATAGTTCATAGGCATAATAATATGTTGTAATATAGGAAGACTGTATTAAACTAATGTTTTAAATGAAAAGGGTTTACTTATGAAAATCATCATCTTTTTCATGAGTTTAAAACTACAGGCATATAATTGTTACTTACAATCAAAATAAATTACTATGTGATGAACAAAAAATATATCTATCAACATTCAATATCATTTGGATTTTCCTCAGGTATCTACTATATTGTTACAATGTCCCAAGAAAATCAAACAAGTTATAGAAGTTAATAATCATCACCAAGACTGTACTAAAAATAAACAGTATTGATTTCTAATTCAACATGATTAACTGTTTGCTTCATAAACATTCATGTTATATTATTTTAATCATACTATAATGAAGCTAGTAGGGATACCAAAATTTTAAAGAGGAAGGAAGAAACATGCAGATTTTATTAGTTTTTGAATAGAACAAAAAAAAATCAATAGACTATTATTTTTTTTATCAAGTCCAACTATATTAAAATCAAATTTCCAAACAGATGTATTATTTTATACTAGTATTTATCAGATGTTCTAATCTTATTCCATTAAAACATCAACAAGTTCTTCAGCATGGATTATTCCTTCTTTTATGTTTCTCTAATAAGCTTTGTTACCAACATCCAGATCACTCCAAATCAATATATTTTAAATACCAAATAAATTATACAATGTTGGGATAGTTAAAATATTAATACAAACAAGTACTTACAAATCTCTGAAAACATGATAATCTAAGTTTTTACTGAAAATAATATTTGCCAATTAGTCACAAATAAAAAAAATACATGCATATTCAAATATTTATAGCAAAATATATATATATATATATATATAAATTTAACATTTTGTTAGTAAGGTCTAATAAGAATATGAGACTAAGTTTTTCATACATAGAATAATTGTTTTTCAAGTGTGTTAAAATTAATGTTGGCCATGAGGGTATGTTGTTTTTCAGGGACTGAATGAATGTTCAATTTTCTTACAAAGATGCAAGGGTTTCTACCTGCTCATTCAAGTGTCAGGAATACAATTTCCTCTAATCAGGTTGTGTTGTGTATTCATATCCTAACTTCTGCTGGATTGACCTTCTTGTTTTATGTCATCACAGTCACTGACATCCTTTGAAGCTGAGTTTGCATAGGTGAATATGAGGTCTTCTACTTTCTAGGTCAATCCTCTGATGTACTGGTGTGACACTGAGTATAAAGCTTACTTTGGAGTGAGCCCAGTATATAAGGGATATCTCAAATCAACTTCTCTTAGATCAAATGCTCTTGATTAAAATTAAATTCAAATCATATATTTACTGGCATAAATCATATACCACACAAAGTCAGGAAACAGTATTTTTACATGAAGAAAACTATAGTTTCTATAATTCCGATTGTATTAAATGGCTTCTTTGCCAATTTGTAACACTTGTAATTTAGTCTGAAAGCAGAATTTTTACCTAATATAAATAATTAGAAATCTACATCTGCAGGAATACACACACCCCTATCTATGTATCTATCTATTTGCAAGATAACATTTTGATAGCATACTTTAATAATTAAATCTGAAAAATTGAGAGAATTGTGCAGGGTTAATGAATATGTCATTTTAAAAATCTTTGATGCTATTTAGTGACTATAGATATTTAAGATAAGGTAGCTGCCAGAGGGGGATTGTTGGCACTTGCATCATTGCTATACTTTTGTGGAATTGTGCCAGACTAGACTAAATCTAGAAAATAAGCAAACACAAACACATATTTTATATATATATATATATATATATATATATATATATATATTTGTGTATTTAGGCAGCAAATTCTCTTTCAGGTATGTCTGAATAAGTTACAAGCATTATGTCTGCTTATTTTGATCATAATCCTTTCATATTCAGGAATATTTTCCACATATTACAATTAAATGAGGCAAGAAATGCAATGTAACAGTAAGAATTACTTTTAGTACCTTAGAGCTTTCCATCTCTTTCTGAGATCATCATCAGGGGTACAATTGGTAAGACAAAAATTATGTGCAGCTATCCATTACTGAATTTTTCTTTTATGTTTAAACACTATGGTTGACAATTGTGCTTTAGTGTTTATTAAAACATGAATAATTATCCATTATGGAATTTTTCTTTTATGTTTGAATGTTATGGTCAAGCATAAATTAAAATGTGAAAAGAGTTTTTTTTTTTTTTTTAATAGGCATTTTAGAACATTATTACAGTATTTGTAGCTGATTCTTTTTAGTGTCGGCTTCAGTTTTTTAATGAAGAGTGCCTCGATGATCTGTAGCTTTAATTTGTTATTTTCTTGGTGTAGGATAGTTGTTTTATCAATCAGTATTTTTCTATACAGTAAGTGTGGACAGGAATGCTAGTACAAATGTTTTGCAATGGAAGAATGGTCAGACACGTATAGAGTAAGACATCTTGATAATGTAGTTATCATATGTCCAATATATATATTTGTTTTCTTGTCGGAAATACATTCTCCCAATGGACATTTGAATCGATATATAATGTTGGTTTTATGCAATACATCAGTTGGTGAGGAGGAGTTATTGCGAATAATTAAATTGGTTGTATTGTATTTTGTATAATATGATTAATTTAATGTTTTTAGTCAGGTCTTTGGGAGATATATTATTACTAATGAGGTTTTTTATGGTCTTGTTTATAGTTAGCATGTATCTGGTTACAATATAAGATATGTTTGTCATTCTTTGAGGAAGTACTATATTCTATTTAATGTGTGTTGAGGTTTTTGATAAATTGTCTTATTTGTTCATCTACAATGTGGTTAGGGAAGTCATTATTAATGGGAGTCTGTTTAATATCTTTTAGTTCAGTCTATAAAATATTTTTGTGGAAGAATTAGTTTGTGCTCAGTTAATTAATTACACAGAGAGGATTTCAATTTTTTAGACAAAGAAGGGGCAATAATGAATGTTCAATGCCTTTTCTTATTACAAGGCAGACTCAAATTTAAAGAAAAAAAGAAAAAAAAAGAATTAGACTGGAAACTACATGATTCTTACTGATGCATTTATGAAAGAGAGCTTTCAACATTTCTACTTCAGTCTGAAATTCTGCAAGTGTAAAATGGACATTCTGGTTGTTTAGTACTGGTGACCCAAATATTTTCCGCTGGCTAGTGTAATCAATGGTCATCTTGATCATATTCTCTAATGGCTCAAGAACTGAAAGAACAGAAAAAGAAACAACTTGTTTAGATGTTTTTACAGTATTGGTTAATAATGAAGATACAGCCAACTTATTTGAACAAATGTTAGCTAAATTATTAAAAATATATTAATATTCCAAAGTGATACAATTCAAGAGAGGAAAAAAATAATAAACAGTTGTAGTTAAACTAAACTATATTATAGAATCAGTTTTATTTGGAATTTTTATTGCCCTAATTAGTTTTAATTTAGTATATAACAAACATGTAAAATAAATAAAAAGAATAAGCATGTAGTTAAATTTTTGCAAAAACTTTTTACTGTCCATATTTTTACAACTGATTCTTCACCCCAATTTTCTGGTTTGGATTAAATTACTAGAATGTATTTGAATTTTTTGTTTACAAGACACTGGCAGATATTGATGACAATCTTTCAATTTTGGGGAATTTTCAACTTTATTTAACACAACAGCTTCAGAGAGAACTGCTAGTTTTAGTCATTATGTCAAGTATAAAATATCAGTTCATATGAATCATATTATGATTAGAAAAAAGAAAAGGATAAGCCATTAAAGAAACTTCAGTGATTAAAAAAATGTATGATTAAATTTAAATTTTATTTATATAAACCTACTCATGGAAATTCAGCATCATTCATTAGGGTTTAATCCAATTGGACGATATTTGAAAATTACAGGTGCCAGATTATTTTGATGACATACTTGACATTATTCAAAGTATTATTAATATATAACACTTATGAAATTTAAAAAATGTTTTATTGACCATAGAGATTTAGAATAACACCATTCTTTTTACTTAATGGTTCCTGATGTCTGAATAAAATATGAAGCTAAAAAATACTTGCCACGAATGATAAAAATAGTTTTAATTTAATTATACTCAAGTATGATTACAAAATAATACTCTACCTCTGTGAATTTGGCACAATTTCTAAATTTTATGCAATAAATTCTAACTAAATCATACTTTATGCCTAAAATATATATTCGCAGCCACCATATATGGTTAAATTATTTCTATTTGAATAACTAATACCATGTTTCAGAGTTTATTTAGATAATTATCTCTTACATTTTTATATATTTACAGTTACTTCCCTTAGTTTGTTCAGAGAATTGTCATATAAGCAAATTTATACATCTATAACATCAACAATATTTCTTTAATTACAAGCAGCTAACAATGAATAAGTCCTATACTTGTTTTTAATTTTTTTTAATGAGGAGATCTTTAGTCAGTTAAACTTAGAAAATTTCAACATAAACATGTTAATAGAAATTGTAAAGAAAAGGAAATTTTCTTTTTAAACAAAGGGTTGTTTGTTAATTTTATAACTATAATTAATAATTTTCTGTAGTTTTCTTCATATTTATCATTTAAATTTATAATTTCTTTATATTTATAATATAGCATCTTGTGTCTTAGTGCCTTTATCACTTTGCATGGGGTGAAAAGATTATAAAAAATAAATTATGCTTTTTCTAAATTTATACTAATTAATTGAAATATAATTTTCTAGTGAAAATGTAAAATTGCATATTTATGTAAGTATGCAAATATACAATTAAAAACACTAAATCTACTTATTTAAATGTTGATTTATTAAAATTTATTCAAGCTTCAAATTTTGCCTATCAAAATATTTATGTTTATTCCTTTTTGTTTTATTTTATTATCAGAATAATTTAAAAAGGTTGACTTTGGTGATTAAAAGTTTCAGTTCACTTGTTAAAAGAAAATATCTTTCTCCCTATTCTCTACTTATCTGGCAAAAGAAAAGCAGATAAAAAGGATTTTTCACTGCACAATTTAAACAACTATACTTTATTTATTTATTTTTACTACACTGCTTAAGATATTCCTTTTGGTTTAACTGATATTGACATTAAAAGACAAAATCAGACATCGAATGATTATGATTTCAGAAACTATTTTAACCAGTATTATGCTGTGTAAGTTGATCAAGAATAAATGAATATAAAACATGTGATATTCACCTCCTGCTGTTCCCCACATCCTCTCTTCTTGGAACTGTAGCATCTGATAGAGAAAACCTTTCCCTTCTTCCCCAATTATGTAACTCCGGGGAACACGAACATCTTCAAAAAATATCTGTGCTGTATCAGAACTTTTCATGCCTAATTTTTTTATTTTCTTGGCAACATGAATTCCTAAAAGTAGAAATGATAAAATTCATTTTCAAGTTGAGTTTTTTATTGTTGATTATTATTTGTGCTTTTAAATTTGTAACTCAAAATAAATTTTTAAATAAAAAAAAACGATAATCAATGCAGCAATAAAATTATTATTTATTTATCTGTTAGGTGTCCGAGATCTGTCCATAGTCAATGTTCAAGCTAATGAATCAATCATGATCTTGAATGTGTATTTTCAAGGAAGATAAACTTTCCTAATATATAAATATGGTGCAAAACATCTTCATATTATCTGAGCAGTCAGTATATTTGTGTACTTATAAAATTTGCATTCACCAATGTTATGATGTTAATTTGGGGTTAATAAAGACAAATGCCAAATAACATGTAACAATAAAATGGGGTTTATTCAGTTGGTAAGTTGGTACAGAAATCGCCTGAGTAGTCTATAACTAACTCAGCCCAGAACTTCTCCGACTCTCTGTCTTTTGACATGCCACTATTTAACATCCTTGTTTGTAAACGAGTTCATCTTCAAGAGGGGTGGTAGGTTCCTACACAACACCTCCCCCTTGAGATTAATTCCAGAGGAATTAATATATTTTCCTTTTGGGATCTGGACTTAAACGTTCCACCCTAGTTCTTTTTCTTTTGCTTGTCCTTCTTTGAACAACTGTTTCAGGCAATGGTGGAGTCGGTATATCAAATAAATCATATAATACCTCCATTGGTTCTTCCTTTTCTTCACTTATTTCTTCAATGATTCTTTTCCTTAATTGGTTCAAATGTCTTTTGTGCGTCCATTTTTTGCTTGGAGATAGGCATCCGATAAATCCAATTTAGAGAATATTTTTCCTCTACTTAAACTTGCAAAAATGTCTTCTGGTGAAAGGCAAAGGATATGTGTGGTCTTTTAAGCAATCATTTAGACTCGTAGAAAAATTGGCACACATCCGAATTTTATTATTTTTTTTAACATATACAACAGGGCAGGCCCACTCTGAAAATTCAATGCGTGAAATAACTCCTAAATTTTCAAGCCGTTCCCATTCTTTGTTAATCTGTTCCACAACACCAAATGGCACATTTCTTTTTCGCTTGAAAATAGGTTTTACATTTTCCTTCACTTCAAATTTTGCCTTCGCCTTTTTGCAACATCCAAGGCCTTCTGAAAATACTTGTGGAAATTTTATTTTCAGATCTTTCACAAAATTTTCTGTAACCCGATTTTTACACCGAGAAGAAACATTAACTCTATTACAAAAAGAATTTATAGGGAGTTCCCATAAATTAAACAGTATAATCCAATCTGTTCCAAACAAATTTGAAGCATTTTGTAGCACATACACTTTAGACTTTAGTGTCTTACCAACAAATGAAATATTACAAGAAAATTCACCTTGAAAATGCAATTTTCTTCCAGAAATCCATGAGCCACTTTTTCAGTCTTTTTAAGCAAAGGTCTGCCTATTTTAATCCATGTTGCTGTATTAATAATGGAAATATCACTTCCAGCTGTAGTTTAACATTTTTCCATTAATTTTTTACTTGTACGAATTTTCTTTTCTGCCCCCCTCAATCTCCTGACGTGACAACACAATATTCACAATATCTTTTTTCGACTTAATTTTTTTTTTCTTTTTGCTTTTACAATGAGTACTTATATGGCCTTTATTGCCACATGAATAGCAATTTTGTCGCGAAAAAACATTCACTTTTAAAATGACCACCACCGCATCCAAAGCACGTTGGTTTTTAACGTTTTATTAACTATTCCCGTTTTTGGTCGAATAGCATGGATACGGGATATGTCTTTTTCTTCAATTTGTGTATTGTCATGTTTTAAGTTTTCAATTCTTTGACATTCTTCCGTAACCTTCTGCAAAGTAATCTCGAATTTTGTTCGAGTTTTGCCAATATTCAGGACCTTATGTCCTTATCTTTGCTAGAAGTCAAGCCTTGAACGAATATCAAACATTTAAATCGATCAATTGAAAGATCATGTAACATAAAACGTTCACACATTCTGTTAACATTTCCAGCATACGTAACAACATCCTCATCGTCACGCTTTACCATATTCAAACACGAGAAATGAGTATAAAACAAACTAACTCACTCACCAAAAAATACTAGATAAAGTATTAACAGTTTCTTCGAAAGAAATGTCACTAGTTTTTCTTGGAAGGACAAAATTTGTATACTTATTATTTTCATCTGTACCCAACTTTTGTAAAAGGTAAACTCACTTTTTGTTCATCAGTCCAACCTTCACATTTTTTTCAAATATTGTTTCAAATCTTCTGAAATACGCAGGAAATGTTATACCCTCTTCTGGGTTAAATTTGAACTCAGTAATAGAATTAGCAATACCTTTGGCCGTGAATGACGAATTTACTGGATTCTTTAGTAAAATTGCTTCAAATAAAGCCTTTGTGTCATTTCGCTGCTGAACTTGTAAATTCAATAGTTGTTCCGGAAACAATTTTTGTTGCTCTTGTTGCAATCTTTGTTGCTCTTGTTGCTGAATTTGATTTTGCACTAGAGTTTTCGTTAATGCAACCAAATCTTCCATTATGCGTAATAGATTACACAAAACACTTTTCGAAAACAGTCAAAAAAAAGGGAAAAACACGTATATATCCAACAATAACCCAAGTCTTACTTCTTTTTGGCACGTTGAAATCCTATTTCTTCTTGAAGAACAAAGTTCGACGTATTGTTTTTTTTTTTCTTTCTTTCAGTGCGAGAAAAAAAAAAATTATATAGTCCACCTAGAGTTGAAAAATTCTCCACTCAGCGTGATGGATGAATCTCTCATTGCCACTGTTATGATGTTAATTTGGGGTTAATAAAGACAAACGCCAAATAACATGTAACAATAAAATGGGGTTTATTCGGTTGGTAAGTCAGTACAGAAATCGCCTGAGTAGTCTATAACTAACTCAGCCAAGAACTTCTCCGACTCTCTGTCTTTTGACATGCCACTATTTAACGTCCTTGTTTGTAGACAAGTTCATCTTCAAGAGGGGTGGTAGGTTCCTACACAACAACCAACATGGTAAAAATATAGATATTAATAATTAATAGCTTGAGTAAAAATATCAATACATCTTCAGCAAACAACTAAAATGATTTTAATGAGACTTAGAGAATTATCTATATACTACCCAATGTTCATAATCAAGTGATATGTATATGTGTGAATATGTGTGTATCAGTCAGTGAACAGTGTTCCTGGCATAATGTTAGATGTATACATATACATTTAACACTTTGCCAGGGACAGGCTCCTTGTTCTGGTCACTGAAATCTGAAGAAGTCCTAAAATCACGGTTGAAATGGGCTAAATGTTGTTTGTTGTTATGGTTGCTAATACAATCTGATATTGCCCATGTCTTTTCTCACAAACAGCCTTGGTAGAATGACAAAAAGTAGGCTTCACACCTATATTGTTATTCTGCCTAAGAAGCCATACCAATTTGATGAATATGGATATGTCATTTTTTACTTCAGCTGAGGAAATAATTTATTACTTGTCATAGTTTTTATTCAACTTGGCAAGTGTAATAGGTGAGTACAAGGCTGTATACAATTATACTAAGTATATATTCAAGTTTACTTCCTTAAGAACCCCTCAACCCATCTAAAAATCTTAAGTTCTTTTTGGGCCTTTCTATATTTAACTTTGTCAAAGCTCCTAGGGACTCTACTTGTCTACATGAATGGTCACTATCCTCCAACCCAATTACATTTCTGCAATTGGACATGTGGATTTATATATACAAATGAATACATGTGTCTAGTTTATTAGTAAGATTTAGTTAACCAAAATACAAAGATTGAAATCAGGTAAATGCAAGAACAAGTTCATTGAATTTTAATTCTATTTACTTGCATCCATAAATAAGTAAAACTTCTGATTCCCAGTGAGGATGACATAAATAAGTAAAGAAATAAAAAGGAAATCAAAGTACCCACTTTTTTGTTAATGAAAACTTGATTACCAAAAAGTAATTTCTTCTAAATTACTTTCATTATTTGATTTAAAACTCTATGGAAATGTTTTTCTATGTATTTGTATTCTAACTTATTATAAAAACCGGACGCTAGAAGGGAACATAGGAAGAAAATAGCAAACTTATGACAACATGCAAAAATATGTTGGCAAATAATATCAAGTTAACAAACGAGTAGCTTTTGTTAATATTTCAATGTTTGTTCACATCATTCACACAGTATTATAAATAGAAGTGACTTCTGTAAAAATTACAAACATAGAAAATAAAAAAAGTAGAAAAACATCAAATAAAGAGAAAAGAGAGAGAAAAAAATTACAAATTATAAATAAAATGAAACTAATGAACCCTTTGATAAATACAGTTAAGGGAGCCTTCAAAAATATCACATCAATCAAATCTGTCTAAATAAGAACAGTTATAAATGTTATAAAAATTGTTTTTCTTTTTCAGTTGGTTTACCTGGAAGATTCATTGGCAGACAAATAAGACTTTTGTTTTTGTGTGGAGGTCCGTCAGAGGTGCATGCAAGCAAACACATCCAATCAGCTTGGCAGCCATTGGTTGTCCACATCTTTCCTCCATTTATGATTAAGTCATCACCTTGTGGAATGGCTTTTGTCTGTATACCTGAATGATTTAAAATAAAGTTAAAGTAAATATTTTTAAAAATTAGCAGATTCTGTATCATATTAATGTTTGTTTTTATTGCATTGCTGTTTATATATAAAAGTTATAGGTTAAGAACAAGTAAGTTCCTTAATCCCATTTGTAAAACTGTGGAGAAGCCCATGCATTTTTACAGATACTGCTTGATATGATTTCATGTGTTCTTTCATGCCTAAAGTAATTTTAACAAAATTATACATCCTTATATACTGAGCAAGTTTCTTGCACATGGAATTTTGAAAAGATTATTTATTTTCAAATTAAGAAAAAGGAGGAAATCAATAAGTTTTTAATCATATTTTGGTGTTGAGGTAAAACAGAAAAATTAGAGTATCATAATATTATTAAAAAAATAAATAGCAAATAATTTTCCACTTTCTAATTTACCTGATGACATATAGTTGTTTTTGTTATATTATTATTAAAAAGGAAAAATAAAAAAGATAAAATTGAAATAAATATAGGTAATTAACAAAATGAAAAACAACCTTATTATAGAAAATTATTAACTTAGTTGGACAGGTATTTATAATTACTATTTAATCAATTATGTTTAAAAAAAAGATTTAAAAAATGAATTACATTAGCAGCAATATATTTAATGTAGTTGGAAAAATAGTAACATGAAGGGAGACAAGTATGAAAAATAGTTACAAAAGTTACCTCCCTTACTTTATTTTCCATATATGAAGAAAGCTAAAGTTTCAAACAACCTATGTAAGGAATAAAACTTTGATAAACAAATAAGAAAGTGTTTTTTGCCAATCTTTCGATCTGTATTCACATTATTATTATACGCCTCAAAGTTTATTTGAAAAACAGCATCTCTACTAAATGATATCAGTGTTTATGAAAAAAATGAAGAACTTAAAACCAATAAGGAGGCACAAAACTTCGCAATCAAAAACTAATAAATAATGAAAACACCTAGACTATGACTTACCAAAAACACATAAGTCTTAATGCAATGTAGTACTCATTAGTAGCACTCTTTGAAAATTAGAATAAAACCTAGCTAAAACTTTAATGCTTCTTTTAAGAACCATCAGCCCATTACATCAACAAATTGAAAAATATGGATGTGGTTAGTTTAGATATTAAATAATATTTACTTACTTGCAACATCTGACCCAGCTCCAACTTCACTCACTCCAAGACATGCAACATAGTCTCCAGCAATGGTTGGAGCTAGAAATTTTTCTTTTAGTTTCTTACTTCCAAACCTAATATATAGAGAAATTATATACATATATCAAAATAAAAAAGAAAGAAGTGTCAGATTTATAATCCATAGTTCTTTAGCATTTATTTTTAAAACCAGCGCTCGATACACAGTAGAGTATAATAATATAATATTATTATTTAAAAATATGCATTCATCATGACACAGAAATTACCAGGTTTCAGGACTAAAAACTAAACTTTAAATTAAACTTAAAATTAAATTGGGTGTTTTGTTTGTTTCTTTTAAATAAAACACCCACAGTAAAATAGAAATTATTAAAAAAAATGAGAACTTGTAGGTCTTTAAATGACCTATGTCCTTTGTGCCTACATAAAAAGTTATATATTATTAAGTTTCTAAAAAATAAAGATTTATTAAATCAAAGAAATGAAATAAGTTTCTGGCAGACATTGATTTATATTTTCTTTAAAACATAATTAAAAAAAAATTCATAATTATATATCTATTATTTGGTCACAAATAAAAAAGTAAGAAAATGCATAATTCCAAAATTTTAAATCTTAATTTTAACAATACCGTATCTAGTATACTAATAAATATAACAAATATAGTATTTTAGATCTTTATAAATAAAAATGTATAAAACGTGACTTCTTATTTGAAGCCCCTTTAAGACAATACCAATGTATTTTATGAAAAATAAAAAAATAAATAAAAATGTCAATGTATTGTAGTGTATTTTATGTATGCCCCTAAATAATAATAATAAAAAAAACAGACAGTATGACACATTCTCATATAAGGAATCCAGTATTGACAGGCAGAAATTACAAACCCACACCTGACCCTTGACCTTTGCCATCTTAAATTATACTTGCATCCTGATTCTTCAAAAAAGGAAACGCCCTTTTAAAATTTTGTAATCCCTTTCCCTCTCCAATTTAAACTATATAATACTATTTAGCTTAAAAAAGTAAATCATTTTTTTTTTAGAAAGTTATTCAACATTGCTTGAGAAGGGAACAAAAACTTTAATTTTAATTTAAGATTTAGTTTTTAGTTCTAAAACATGGTAATTTCTGTATCACAATGAATACATATTTTTAAATAATATTATAGTATAAATTACACATGGCACCGTGGATAAAGGCATTGGTTAGATCCAGTGACAGCACCCAAAGAGTGTGAGTTCAATACCCGGCTAAGGCAGTGGAGAACTTGGAGTGGGGAAATGACAGAAGATAACTGATAACTGACATCCATTAAACATGGCACGTGGAACTAGAACAGTGTACACCAGTGAGTGAAATAAAGGGTTCAGTTCAACATTCCAATCACCTGAAGAAGCCCGTAGCATACAACAGCTGAAACGTTGTAATAAATATGGCGGCAAAGATGAGGACAATAATCCAAATAATGTAAATTGTGTAAGGACTGTGTATTTTTTTTATTTTATTCCAGAAATCAAATTTTCTGGCTTTTGACATATGCAGAAAATTTGCATGAAGAACAACAAATGAGAACATAGGCTAGAAGAATTTTTATGAACAAAAGTGCATTTTTTTAAATTGATTTTTCAAAATTTACATGATCATAGCTCTCAAAAGATTGCTTTTTCTTTCTTATCTAAGAATTGCTATGACTTTTTGGGAAAGATAGTGGTGTGGTTTCCTGTTAATTCAGATAAGTATTTCTCTTAATAAACCCAATATAAACTATAACTGGGAAAGGGAGAAGAAATGAATTCATATCTTTCCCAAAAGCTTTAGTGTGAAAGTGAACCTGTCAAAATTTGAACTTGGTTCTCTGATTCCATTTTCCATCCCAATAACCATTACACTGCCCATTCATTCCTCTCAAGGTTCATTTAAAAAGATTTTTTTTTTCCTTTTAACACATGACTTTAGGTTAAATAATATGAATTAACAATAATAATAATAATAAGGGTAAATAATAAAGTAGCTAATATTGAATGTTTTGACTTTGCCATTAGGTTAGCCAATTCAAATCTCACAACAGTGAATTAACATTTCCCTTTGATAACATGTCTTGTAAATTTATGAATATTGACCATGAAATTGTGACTACAAGAAGAATTAAATGAAGAGATTCCAATATCAAATGAGGCTGAATTTTCATATGAAATTCCCAAATACGAACAAAGTCCAGTGGTATCATGAGGTATTGCTTGGTCAGGTTGGATTTTCAAACAAGATTTGACAATAAGTTCATCATCTGATGAAAGCTTTTTTGGTCACATAGATGTCTTTTTCTCAGTGTATGAAATTATTATATATATGATTGATGATGAAGGAATGAATGAATTGCTTTTGTTTTTATCTTTTTTTTCTTTAAAAAGAAAACAAAAACAAAAAAACAAAATCACTATTGTTTTAAATCCCCCACATTGTATCAGCATTAATTTTATAAGTAAATATGATGCTTGATCCTGGATGTAAATTTACTATAGAAGATTAACAAATTATTTCACTTTCAATATATTTTCACTGTAATAAATTACTTTCTCTATTAATTAAAACTACATTCTTTAGGTTAAAGTTAAGTCTAGACCTATTACAATGTGCAATGAATACATTGTTTTGTAAAAGATCCTTTTCTGCTAATGTTATTATTTTGTGTCAATTCAATCTTTTATTGTTTTTAAAGTATTTGTAATAAAGTTGAGATAACTTCTTTTCAATTTTAGTCATTATTGAGTTATCCATAATAACAATCCCACCTCCTTTGTCCAAGGCAATTATAATAATTTATGTTAGTGGACATTATGGATAAGTCTGAGAAAAGAATAAGAATAGTCCAAACATATAGCAAACATAACATTTATTCTATTGAAAAATACTATATAGAAAACTTTTACTTTTTGTGAATGATTTTGTTATAGAATGATGAAAGTTCTACTTCCAAATAAGTGTGGCATGTGGTGCCTGAAGAGTGTGATAGATGAGTACTTGTTGTCTGTCTATATCTTGAAGACTAAAAGAGACCAAGCACTTCAAGAGGTAACAGGAAGACAGGCCACAATTGTATGGATTTGTGACCAATCCAAAACTCTCATGCATGTAGAGTTTGACAAAGCCTTAAACCATACTGCTGCTATGCATGTATTTTGAACAGTATGTGAGCGTGAGTGTGTTAACTTGCTACTCAGTGATGGATGCTACAAAGGTACTCATGTTGATGCACACCAATTTCAGTTTGTATGCGATGGTCCCTGGAGGTTAGGGGCAATGAAGACTATACCTTGACTCCCCATTTCTGAAAAAGTGGCCATAGATTTTTCAGAATGACTATTCCCACTTACATGATACCTGTAACCTAGGAGTGGTATACACAATTATGTGAAACCCTAGTTCTCCTGACTTGAATCGCCAATGTTACTATACATGGCATATTGTCAAAATGGAGACCAATCAGCAGCCCACAATACTAAGGATGCCAAATGCCACCATCATGGAGATGATGGTCAATATGAACAAGAAACCACCTGATCCAGGTACATAGTCACTTCTGAAGACATATCAAAGCCATTTTCAAGCTTTGGATGGGCTTAGTGCATAACCTTTTTCTTTTCTTTTATAAGTTGAACATGTGTACAAATTTCTTTGAACATATTCTGATTCTTTAAACTGAATATGTTTTTCTTAATAATTTGTTCCATTATATGTGTGTATCTGTATGTGTGTCTTGGCCTGACCAGACACATGTCCAAAAATTAGTCATTTGGTCAGATTTGGGAAAGAAGGTCAGGCCACAAACTTTTCACTATCTGATAGTAGAGACAGATAGTTCTTAAAAAGTTTTTATTTATGAGTCAGATTCGAAATTGGGAAGTTGACATCAGGTTTGTTGCATTTAATCAAACAAAATTTGAATCTTATAGAACCTAGTAATTTGAATTTTTCATTCATTAAAATATAAAATTCTGGCTCCTATATTTCTTCCAGATTAAGAGATCTAATAAATTATTGGCATAGTATCTATAAAATTGATGGGATTATTTATGTATGGATCACAACTTCTGCTTTAGATCAATGTAATGCTCTGTGTTACACATACACAATGTCTGTGTATGTGTGTAACTGCCTCTGTTCATTTCTATAACAAAATTGGGAAAAGAAAGAAAATGTGAAATAAAAAGCCAGAGAAAAATCAGAAAGAAAAGAGGATGGAAGGAAGGAAGGGAGGAGAGATGAAATATATAAGAAAGATTAACTGTCTTGAGTTTTAATCTTCTAGTAATTCTTTCATTTTTTTTTTACAATGTATGAACTTTTATTTAATATTTTTTTTTTCGTTTGAAACTTGATACACACCTTACATAAGGTATATAGATATGATGATACTAACATACAGATTTGAAAATGCATGTTATTAGTCTCATTTTCTCTCTTTTTCAATCTCCATTTACCTGTTTTATATTCCCTCACCTTAGTCTTATCCATTACTTCATTTTCTCTTCCTTTTCTTAGATTTTAAGAAATAAGTAACATTTAAATCTTTGAAGATGCAATACAACTGACAGATGAAAGAAACCTTGACAAGCTTTCACAAAAAAAAAAACAAAAAACATATCAAGTTAAAGCTGAGAGTTGAAAGAAATCACCTACCTGTTCAAAGCTGGGATGGACATTGCTGTTTGTACACCAATAGCCATAGGTATAGCACCACAATTTATATTTCCTAATTCTTCTGCCACTGCCATTAAGTAAGAAAAATCTAATCCAAGACCACCATATTCTGAACAGTAATTTAAAAAACAAAAATAAATCAGAAAAATAGTTATACTACGTACATCATGAGTTTATGGAAATACCATCAAAAATTATAAATTATACTAACCAACAGTTTAAAATAGACCATAAAAAATTATATTGCATTCAATTTCCATATTTTTATAGCAGTCATAGTTATTCAATTTCAGCAATGTAAGTCACAAAATTTTGTTCTCAGCAGAGAAATTGATAGAGATTCAAATTTTGGAATAGTATAAAACAAAGGCTGTAATAATCTCAATCAAATCAATCAAATGTAACACTATAGGTGATAGGTTCGTGTTCCAGTTACTGGTTCAGTGGCATCCTAGGTAGAAAGATTTGTTCACGCACAGTTTGAGAAGATCTAAAGAAATCTTGAGCTCAGAGTGGAAATGTCAAAAGCCCAAGCCAGTCACATATCACACAAAACAAAAGCTGGTGGCTTCCTGGGTTTGTTCAAACTTGGAACAAAAAAGACCAAAATACTGTAACAAAATTTTAACAGTTTATTTTTGACAGTGGTTACATAGATGTTTCAATTAGCATCTTCCTTTCCCAAATACTTGTCTGCAGTACACTATGATCTGATGGCTTAGCAGATTCTCTTTGTATTTTCTCTGGCAAACTTAGTTGAAATTTTCAAAGTGCACTGCACAAATATATATATATATATATATATATATATATATATATATATATATATATATATATGGAATTTGCCCTGACAGTTGGTCACCAATGATACATTGGTATAATTTTTTCAGTTATTTTACATCCTTAATGGTCTCCTTTATCCCAGAAAGCACATGGTAAGCTAGGCACTTGATTGAATTTAGATAACCTGCTTTGTGAAAACTATTCTTCCTATAAAAATACTGGCAAATATGTCAGTGTGTAAACAAACCACATGACTCATTGGCTTTGGCCAAGTTGGTTTTCTTTTTTGGCTTTTTTCTTTTTTTTTTTTTTTTTGGAAAGCGTTTTTCCTTAAATTATTCTGCCTCATAATCACACCAATCCACTAAATAGGTTCTTATATAAGCAAATGATGTAATATATATTACTTATCATTGTTTTTGCCCAAATTGGTGAATGTAGTAGCTGGGTAGAGAACCATACCTAACTATAATAATTTACTATATTCAAGCCCAATTCTTTACTCACTACTCAACAAATGCATGCCTACTCTCACATTTTTCACTAGTTCTATACCATAAAACCAACCCTTACTACATTTAACTCTACTGACCACAATCAAGCTTCCTTGGGACTCTACTCACCAAAAATGTGGGGGTTACCACTTAAGTCAGTTATGTGCCATGCGTGATACATGCTTAGGCAATCATGTATCTTTCAATACATGACTGATGAGGCAGATTTTTTCCTGCAGTAGGTTGTCATTTCTTTCTGTGGTTAGACCAGTTGCCATCCAAGGCTGCAGAACCCAGTCTGTCCTGCTATTTACCCATAGCTGAGAGGGCAAGAAGAGGATTCATACCTTTCCCAAGGGTATTAGCACATAAGTGAATGAAATGGATTCGGATGGAATTCAAACTCATCTCTCTGATTCCTCAATCCAAGCCGCTTATCCATTACTCCACCATACCTTCTGACTGGGTTACCACTTACTTCATCAAATTAGAAATGTCACTAGAGCAATATGCTCAAAGAAATGACTGTACAACACAATATCAGTTTTAAGATAGTATCAAAAAAAAAAAAAAAAAAAAAAAATAAAACCTGTATGTGGATGTGTATAGTAAGTTAAGCAAGCTTCTACTACAGATAACAATCCACAAACAAAACAGAAAAAGTGAAAACTACAAGTCAGTAATCTATTCACATATACAACAAAATCTGTATCCATATGTGTGTGTGAGACCTTTTCACAGAATGCACAGGTACTATACTGATTTTTGGCAAAAGTGATGGAGAACATCTTAGTGTCATGGCAAAACACAAAATTCTGATCCTCAATAGCATACACTGATATTCTTATCATAAGCAGAAGTATCAATTCTTTTATAAATAATCTTGTCATTTTTATGACTATGCTAACAAATAACAACCATTATATGATTGTTGCTCCAAATTGGCCAACATTATCAGAGGTAAACAATGGTTATGGCAGTAAGCAAGAATAATAAAATTATGTATTACTATAAAAACAATAATAATAAAATAATTTCTTTTTTGGCCTTATTAAAGATAGCAGATGAATGGCAGTCGGGCAAAATGACATTGAATGCTATCAAGGCTGGAAAGTGAGGATTGAGCCCAAATATGATAGTAATACTCAGGTAGCAATTAAACAAATTTACTAAAACTAGAAAAAACTCAGGGGTAAAGTTCTAAAAAACAACAACAGGATTTTGTCCAGACCAGAGCCTTAAAAGAGTCAAAACTTTTGATGGGTTTCTGTGAAAATAAATGCTTGGTATTACTTTTGTAAAATGATGAAAATACTGTTGGATTACTATTTGTATGAACATGCTAAGTTCATATAAATAAATCCATACTCCCAATATCTATTACATGCAATAAATATGACAGTATAAAGATAGCATGATTTTAAGTACTTAAGAAAATTCTCTTTAAATGACATTAATGTATGTTTGTGCAAAAACTCAGATATAAATAAATAAAATATATCTGTAAAAAGACAATATGAATAAAAACAAAAGAAAAACTTTTCTTTACCATCCCCCGAGGGACTTTATCAAGGTAAATGAATGAATTTTATTTTGCAACATGTATTTATAAAAAAAAAATAAAAATACCATTAAGTTTTCAAAATTTTTCAATTTAAGAATGCTTTAAAATATTCTTAAAGCTGTGTAAGTAAAGGTAAACTATGGAAGATGCTAAGTGATGTAATTTAATGCCTAATAAAAGAAAGTGAGTAAAAGTTTGTTAATATTTTTGTATTTTTATATATATTTATTTTTTAATGTAATTATAATTTATTATTTTATTTCAATTTGATAAATTATTAATGTGTGTTAAAAATCAGGTAACTCTTCCCTTAAAGTTCATTCTTTTCATTTAAAGATTTTTAGATTTTGTGAGGGTTGAATTCTTTTTTGGTTGAGCTAAGAACTTCTCAGTACTCCCACCACCTAGAATATACTAACAAACTGCATAATATATAGAAAACTGCATGTATATATAAAGAAGAACAAAAAAGAAACATAAGCATATATGTTTACATGTGTTAAAAACCAGAAAAGCATGTACTTACAAATATGAAAAGACTCATTACAAAACACATGTAAATATATATTATAATAACAAAAATGTATTATTGCTTTGTTTTCAGGATGTAACTTGTCAAGAATTTAGTTTTCATTTTTGACTGCGAATTACAAAATACTAAATGACATCTATTCCCCAGATTGTACTAGAAGTAGAGAGTCAAAGTAATGCTCTATCACAGTCTCTCTTTAAGTTGGAATCAGATTTGGTTTTTCACACATATATTTGGATATAAATAATGCATTACCTTCTCACACAAAAGCAGAAATTGAACACTTACCAACAGGATAATTCACACCCAAAAATCCATGGTTGCCTAGTTTTTTGAAGACTTCATGAGCTGGAAATATTTCCTTTTCTTCCCATTCATCAACATAAGGATTGATTTCTTTGTCAATCAACTGAAATAGAAGTATTAAAAAAATAACCAATAATTTTTTGGAGTGGGGGACAAAGCCATGATATCACAAGTAGGACTTATTAAACAAATATATCAAAGCATTTCCAGTGATGATATATAGTGACCAAAATATTCTAAGGGGAAAATAAAGCAATAAAAATGTTAGTATTTTAATACTGAATATATTTGAATATATTATATGCAGTTTTTTCTTTTCTCTGTCCACTCATGTTTCCACTTCTTCAATTAAATGTAGTAATTTCCAGCTTTAACAGACTAGGTATTTCTGATGTTAAGAGTAAGTTTCTTATTAAGCATTAAATTTTGCAATTTTTAGATAAATTTATTTAAGCAACATTCAGTTCACAGTCTATATGTTGCGTACTGAGAATTTGGGAGGGAAAAATTTTCAGTTGCTAGGTATATTAACCTGGCCTCCTCACTAAGGCAGGATGTGACACAAGGTTGTTTTAACATGGGGAGCACCATACACATATGTATGAATATGGGTCATTGCCAGGACTTAGTGCAAACATTATTGACAGGATAGAACTTATATAATTTTCTTAGTGAGACAGAAAATCTTTTTGGATCAGTCTAAATTTCTATCACTTGTACCCTGTTGGTGATATCGTTGCCCCAAGTTCATGTAAGAAAATGAAAACTGATTAATATTTTATATTAATCAGTTTTTTGCCAACAAGTTCAGACTAATATTTCTCTAAGATAAATTTGAAATATCAAATCAATCTAATACTTCTTTAGAACAATATAAAGAGGTACCTTGCATATATACATTTTTATGTTGGCACTTCAACATGATCACTTGTCTGTCAACATTTCAATAGATTACATAATAAAAATAAAATAAAAAGTTGATTTGACAATTTTCCTTTTTACCATGATCCTACATATTAGTTTATATCATGTTTTAGATTGTTGTCCTTATGCTTTCCATGCATAGGCAATATTTCATATCAGTTTATTTATCTTTGTGTTATTTGTCTGTTTCTTCCACTGAACCAGAATTTTCAGTACAAACAGACCCAGTGATTGAACTCACGGGGAGGCAGATATCTCAACAAACATTTTAATTCACATCACATTTGCCTAGTGGATAAAAAGCATTGGTTAAAACGTATCTGTTTCCCTGCTTCATTAGCAGGCATTCTTTTCGTTAAAACTTTATACTTTATAGTATTTACTTTTTGTTCTTTGTTGCATGCATATGACATATTCTTATAATGGCTTATGAGGAATTAATAAACACTCAAATTTAATAGTGCTCTGGTGGTGATTTCAAAACAGTGAGAGAATCATTCTATCTCTGTGCCAAGAATAAAAATAATAAAAGTATAGGTCTGATATGACATCACTATATCACTCATAATTTTAAAACATATCAGGTACACAGAGGGACCAGAAAATAAACTTGAGTGCCATAACTGACAAGTGCACTTTTGATAGCCAATTCCAGGAACCTGGTCATCATCTTGAAACTGTTTGTAGAAATTTGTACTGTCAGGAATTCTTTTGATGGCCCATTGGAGGTAGCCTATTCTAGCACAACAAGCTCAAAAGAGATATAGGAAAAGAATGTTAAAAATGCAGAAGATGAAAGTAACATTCTCAGCAACAAGACTTTTGGATTTCAAACTCATGAAGAAAAACAGAGTAAGTCAGAAAGAATCAGATAATAATCGTGAATACTATAAAAATATACACCACTAGATTATTAGTGAATATTTAACAGAGGAAAAAAGGAATGAAACTGAAAGAGATAAAATAAATATTATAGAATAAACAGATCCTAACTATCCCCAACAAATACAGGCTAAAAAAAAAAAAAAGTAAAAATTGGAAACTGAGAAAATTAATAAATCATTGCAATATGTTAAAAGTTAACCACATATGAAAAAGTAAAAATTGTTACTGGTAAGTTTCATTCTCACAACAAAAAAAGAAAAAAGAACCACTATGCAACAAAGATACAAAAGCAGGATGGAAGATGAGACTAAAACAAACAATAAAAATTTATGTAGAGAAGTAAGTAAAACTAAAAACAAAACACAGTAAGTTCTAACAAGATGAATTGACAAAATATATTACCATAAATTAAAAAGGACCAGCTGTTTTAATAGAAGAGTTAAATTAAAAGATCTTCACTAAGGAAAGTAAACCTAAAAGAGGACAATATAGAATTCATCAATATATACAAAATAAAATTTTCCATAATAAAGCAACTTGTACACACAGATGAAAAAACAACCAGATGTAACTGAAACAAATGTTTTTGAGCAGGTTATGGGATTGTAAGGTAAAGTATCTGGTCATCCCATAAGTTCTGTCCGAATTTTGAATAAAGAAAACAAGTGACCAAATGTTACATTTAATTACAGATTCAATCAACAATGTATTTTCCCTGATTATCTATGACTTCCTTCCATCTATTAATAAGCTTACTAATTCCATTACTGTAAAATTCTTTTGGCTTTGATTCAAAGAACTCACAAATGTCAGTTTTAACCTCTTCCTGTTTCTTCCAAATGATTCTGTAAGCTACAAAACAAATGGTAGTCTGAAGGAGCAAGATCGGGAGAATAAGGTGGATGAGGAATTTTCTCCCAACCAAGTTCTTTGATCTTTTGTGACGTGATTCTTACTGTGTGAGGTCGCGCATTGTCCTGATGAAACATCACCCCTTTTCGATTCACTAGAGCAGGTCTTTTTTTCCTCAAAGCTTGGTTCAAACGTTCTAATTGCTGACAGTATATTTGAGCGTTAATTGTTGCATTAGGTGGTAAGAATTCAAAGTGGATTATTCCTTGGCAATCTCACCACATTGAAAGAAGAACCTTTTGCCCATGAAGTTCCCTTTTCGGCTGTGGCTGGGGTCCTTCCCCTTTACCAAGCTACTGTCTACGACGCTTAACATTTCGATAAAAGATCCATTTTTCGTCGCCAGTCACAAGTCTATCCAAAAAAGGTGAAACAAGTTGGCGAGAATGGAGAGAAGAGCAGATGCCAACTCGAGATTTGAGGTTGTTTTCAGACAATTCATGAGGCACCCATTTTCCAAGTTTAGGAACTTTTCCAAGTTGTTGAAGATGACGATGAACAGTTGTATGGTTTGAACTGAGAATCACTGCCAATTCCTCAACTGATAAAGCAGGATTTTCTTCAAGGGCTGCTTCAAGAAGCTTTTCATCAAACTCAACTGGACGTCCGGTTCGATCTTCATCTTCAACGGTGAAATCTCCACCTCTGAATTTTGCAAACCATCTTCTGCAAGTTCTTTCATTCACACATTCCTCTCCATAAACTGAGTGAATGTTTCTAGCCGCTTTGACTGCTGAGTTTCCGTTCTTGAACTCATAAAGCATTATGTGCCTCAAATGATTCTTGGGTACTTCCATGTTAGCAGGGTTTTAATCAAACAAAATTTAATTTTATTGTTCTCTGAAATAAAATTTGATCAGTTTAAATGCATCTAAACATAAAAATAATGTTCAGCTCCATTAGACATTATAAAATACTCTTTAAATTTCATTCATTTTAACAAAAAGTTAAAATTCGGACAGAACTTATGGGATGACCTGATAGTTGACCAACCTGAACAATGAATTATGTAGGATCAAAGATGAGTAAGAGAGAGGAATTAACATTTATATATTAAAGGAAAGTAAAGTGGAAGATGCTAGACCATGACTGAATCCATAGATTCTGATTTAAAAGATTGAACCTAAAATTATACAAATGTCTATCAGAGTCGTGGAGTTAGAGTCAGAAGCAATGAAGAGGTCATTGGAGTTGGAAAAACCAAACTGACTCCAATTGAATTTACACTTTATGTGAAGAATCTATTGCTACTGTAAGGTAGCAGCGAGACGACGATGTATCTGCCAAGCCACTTTCGTTGCCGTGAATGTCTTGTTTAAGTAGCCCTCTCTAGCCTCTCATGTAAGCGGGCGGTCTACTTCTATGGGGTGTGGCGCCAAGACCATTCCGGTCTTGTAACTGGGCGTCTTAGGTTCGATTCCACCTCTACACGCCCCCCCCTTCCGGGGCCTGAAGATACTTGCTTGTGGTCCAATGTTTTGAGGCTCTGGAGTAGTCGTGCGGCGTGCCCCCGTCTGTGGGGATAGGTTCCTGGGTGGTCGCGTCACCCTTCTGCTACAACGCCCGGTTGGTCTTCCTCAACCTCCATCATTCCAGGGGATGCTGTGTCATCTACCTCCATCGGTTCTGGTAGAGTGTCAGATGTTTCGGGCTGGTTTTGATCCATATCAGTGGTGGACCATTCTCCCGGTATTTGGGCCCTGTTGGGTTGTCTATGGTATCCAACATTCCTGGGGGCACCTCAGGTATCGAGTGGCAAGGAGTATCTACTACTGGGTTTATTTTTCGGAGGAATCTGCGATTGCGACGGGTTACCCGTTACTCCCATCCATGCGTACATTATACTGCCGGTTACCCAGTGTTTCCACCACCCTTCCTGTCTTTGCCAATCGGTAGCGGGTATGGACCAACTTGGTTCTGTATCTGCACCATTTCCCGATTTTCAGTTCCTGAAGTGGGTGACTTTTTAGATTGTATTCTCTTTCATTCCTTAAGTGTCTTTTTGCCATCACTGTTTCCACGTTCTGCTGGGAAGATGTATTTTTTTTTAGATACATATATAATCTGATGTGTTTCCCGCGATCCTATATAATCTGACTTTTCCCAGCGAATATCCTCTGACTTTTATGTTTAGTAGGTTATCCGTGATTCCCGATTCGGTGACTAGTCGGTACTAGACATTTGTCTGGACACTTCAGAATTTTTTTGGATTTCTGGTCCGTTAGAGCATGTCTGTGCCCCAGTGTCTGCGATCGCCTCGATCCGGTGAGTATGGAGGCCAGCTTGTCCTATGGATATGTGCCCGAATTCCCGCATGGGCCTCTGGAATCAGAGTTATCTCTACCATCAGGGTTGGTGCTGGATCAGGAGTACCTCTTGAAC